GATGTTCTGTTTTTGTGAAGCCTTTCAGTTCTTCTTTTGTCCTCCACTTGTTTTTTGATGTACACTGCACACCATGCAGATATGCTAAGGTTTTGACAAATAGCTCTTTGGGAATCAAAGAGCTTTTAGTCAAATAGCTCTTTGATTTATACTAAACTGTGTTATCTTTGCCATTTTTCATAGATTCAGCTAATGAAACAGGTACACTTATGTGTTTTTGCAAGTCTTTTTTGCGACAAAGAGTTCAAAGATGCAAATTCAAAACTGGTTCCTTGCTAATGTACCTGTTATATGTAGTCATAACACTAAGTTGGGAGGTTTTTTTTGCTTGAATGATTCATAGGTCAGTGTGAAGTGGCTTAACTAACAAAAAACACTGCTTAAACCAATGTTTAGGTGTAAGTACGGGACTAATAATCAGTGTAAATTCAGCAAATAAGTGTAAATGCGTGGAGATCTATTGCTGAAGACCAATTAAAAATTACAATAATGTCTGGCTAATTGGAAGAAAATATAAAGAAATAAGACTTTTTTTGTCTAAAAACAAATGAACTGTCAGAGCTTTTCTATATCTAATAAAAACTTGAAAAAATAAACAAAAGCAATCACAATATTAGTCACCATCATCTATGACTGTGTTCGTTTTTTGTTAAATTAATTGAATAGAAAAGGGTATGAAGGTCATGAGACAGAATGTAACCATAACTGTACAATAAGAACGGTTTTACTCATTCACCTGTTATTTCTAGTTTTCTTTTCCACTAATTATCCATTACATTTAAACATCATATTCAAGAAACAAATTCAATACCTTTAACAGACTGTTTATTGCCCTTTTACAGAGCACTTTTTATGTATACTCACTTTCAAATGTATTAGGATGTCTTAAAAGCTGACTCATTGCGTGCATTTGTTTTTAAAAACCTTATTTATATCTCCATCATCTGGGGAATAAAATGCGGTAACTTTCTTTCTTACTTGAACATCACAACTACTTGTCTATCCTTCCCCTCGGGTGACCAGATCACCGCGTGGAGCCCGGTGAGAGTTTCTTGACGACTGGAAGTGGTGTGGGTGGCGGAGAATGAGTCATCCATCATCTGTCCATCGCCTTAGGTTGCTGCTGCTGGTGCAGAGCCGAGTCGAGCCCCGTCTCACAGCGCTGAAGGAGCAGTGATGTCACAGTCGTCACTGTTCTCCTCTATCAGAGCTCTTGGCATTCGTGCACTCCAGCTAGAGTGGGATACAATAATAGAATCGAGTGTGTTCATTTAGGCCCCCCCATCTCTCTGTATGGCATTTCTTCTTAAACTTCCAATTTTTTTTTTTCTTTTTTTAAATCTGCTTCCTGGCAGAGGTTTGTGGAGTTACACAGATACACTGAAAGAAGCAATGAAAATTCTGTTGTGGTTCCCAAGAGATGTGGGAACGTCATGTGTCAACCTCAACAGATTAGTTTCCCTCTTAAATCTTCCTTTTCAGGGAAAGTTTATTCCACTGCCGCAGTGTTTCTTAGAACAGAAAGATTTAGGTGTTCTTCAGAAACAGATAACATTACAGGGAGATTAATCGTCTGACGTGTTGTTTTTCACGGGGTGCAGAGTTTGTTTCTTTTTTAGAACAACGTGGCCCGACTGCGTTCTGAACATGACAGCCCTCATGAATGACTCACAGTGTTAGCCAAACATCTGAAGAAATTACCACCCACATGCTTTTGCAAAAGAAAAAAAAATGACGCAGATGTTCCATTAAGCAACTTTTTATTCAATGTACTGTAGATAAATTTGATACTGCATGAAAGCTGGTGGCTCTAGTTCTGTCAAGCAAGTGACTCATCATTGGATAAATTACCGAGGTTACATAACAACTGTACTTTCTCAGCATATGCCTTCCATTGAAGTGACTTCATCCCCTGTATAAGAAACAAACTGAAACAAACTGGAGACGTCAGCCTGGAGGCATCTTACGGGTTTTGGGTCAGGGATGAGGGTCTTACTGTGTCACTGGAGACAAGTCAAAGTTGTTGTTGTTTCATTGTTATTTTAAGTACAGGGAAATAACCATGTTTACACTTGATTTGAGTCATTACTTACACCAGCGGTCCCCAACCCCTGGGCCTCGGACCAGTACCGGTCCGTGAGTCGTTTGGTACCGGGCCGCGAGAGTTGAGGCTCAGGTGTGAAATGTATGGTTTTCAGCGTTATTTTGTTATCGTTTTGATTGTTAACTCGGTTTTCCTGGGTCTTTTCACGTGTGTTATGAATAAATCTCCTTTTTTTTGGTACCAGTAGGCTACTAGTTTTATTTTGTTGCATTTATCCGCGACACCTTAAAGGCCGGTCCGTAAAAATATTGTCGGGCATAAAAAGGTCCGTGGCGCAAAAAAGGTTGGAGACCGCTGACTTACACTGTAGGCTAAACTTCTGACATATAAGGTTATTTCAGTTAGATGGCTTGAAATACAGCCTAATATTATTAAGGTTTTACTGCCCTCTTCAGGTTTTTGTAATAATGCACATTTACATCCACATTGAGTGTAAATTAATTAATGTCCAGTGTGAGCATGTGACTGCCTTTTAATATAAAACAATAAAATAATAAGTGTATTTTTACATCTCCACACGAAAAACTCACCCAAATACTAAAGAAAATCCTCAAATAGGTTCAAGGTTCTTTATTTGTCACATGCATAGTTATACAAGTATAACACACAGTGAAATATAGCCTGACACACTCCTCGACATGTGCAAAAAAATTGGGGGGGGGGGGGTAGAGGAAGAACATTATATATATATATATATATATATATATATATATATATATAGTATATACATTGGGTGAATGTGCAGTAGTAACAGCAAGTAGGTGAATTCTGTACATTAATATGAATAGACATCTGACTATTTTACAGAATAGACAATATAAACATATTTAAAATTAAAGGAATTGAAATGTACATTGTGCCTTGGTTTAGAGTGTCTGGAAGAGTCCTGTCTCAGTCAATTATAGATGATGTGAGAGGGCGGGTGTGTGTGTTTAGGGCACGGATGGCTTGGGTATAGAAGCTCCTCTTGAGTCTCTCTGTCCTTGCCCGGATGATGTGGAACCTTCTACCAGATTGCAGAAGTTGGAACAGTTTGTTGCCAGGATGGGACAGGTCCTTCAGTATCTGCGCTGCTTTAGTCCGGCATCTCCTGGTGTAGGTGTCCTGAAGCGGGGGGAGAGCAATCCTGCAGCAGCGTTCTGCTGTACGGATCACTCTCTGGAGTGATACATTTGAAATATTCACTCTCCGGCCACTTTATGAGGTACACGTTGCTATTAGAGCTGCCTTAATTCTTCATGGCATAGATTCAACAAGGTGCTGGAAACATTCCTCAGAGAGTCCTAGTCCACATTGACATGACAGCATCATAAAGTTGCTGCAGATTTGTCAGCAGCGCATCCATGATGCGCATCACCACATCCCAAAGATGCTCTGCTGGATTGAGATGTGACTGAACACCATTTAAGTATCATGAACTCACTGTCTTGTACAAGAAACCAGTTTGAGGTGTTATCCTGCTGAAAGCAGCGACCAACATATGGATACATGATCATAAAGCAATGGACATAGTCAGCAACAGTACTTGTGTAGGCTGTGGCTCAGTTGGTACTTAAGGGCTGATAAGCTGATAAGAAAATATACCCACCAGCAGCTGTGGAACTATTGATACGAGACAGGATGGATCCATGCTCTCATGTTGTCTACACCAAATTCTGACCCTACCGTCTGAATGTTATGCAGAAATAGAGCCTCATGAGATCAGGCAATGTTTTTTGAATCTTATATTTTCCAATTTTGGTAAGCTCGTATGAATTGTAGCCTCAGTTTCATGTTCTTACCTGACAGGACTTCGTTTGGTCTTTTGCTGCTGTAGCCCATCTGCTTCAAGGTTTGATGTGTTGTGCATTCATGATGTTCTTCTCCATATCTTTGTTGCAGTGCATGGTTATATGAGATACTGTTGCCTTCCAGCTTCTCCTCTGTTTCTCCTCTGATCTCTGGCATCTACAAGGTATTTTCACCCAGAAATCTGTTTTTTTTAACCATCCTCTGTAAAAACAGATTGTGTGGGAAAATCTAAATAAATCAGAAGTTTCTAAACACTCACATCAGCCCATCTGGCACCAACAGCCATGCTGTTTAAAGTTACTGAAATCACCTTTTTTCTTCCCCATTTAGATGCTCATATTGAAATTTATCTTCACTATCCCTAAGTGTCATGTGTTTGGCTGATTATATATTTGTGTTAACAAGCTGTAAAATAGGTACCTAATGGATTGGCAGATGAGTGTATTTTATTTTATTTTTTTTACATTAGACATCACGTCTAACATAAGCTCAAAAACAGACTAACAACTCAAAATGTCCCCATATTTCCATACATCACACCCAAACATTGCAATTTATTCCCAGGACATGTGAGCACACCCAGAGGTCTTGGAAAAGGAAAATGTGTAATTACTAATAAGTACATTTAAATACTGCATAAAGCAAAAGGTTTCAGTTTGAGAAGTGTCCTAAATATTTGTGTCAAATGGTGCCATTGACAGACAAGTACAGCCACTCGCTCTTACAGATCCAGACCCATCCAGATAAAGGCGGGCTTCATGCATGTGTAAAGACTTTCAAAGGCCAACATTTTTGGATGTTATAGATGTTTAGTGCATCTATGTTAAAATGCAAACCACTGATACCTTGGCCTTGGCACTGCTTACTGCTCATAGGATGATGACAGTGGTAGCCAATTAACACTGGGATATCCAAGCCAGGAAGGGCAGAGTGAAAGTCTTTCCTCTTTTGGCAGACTCAGTGGGGGTGGCAGATGGTACTTAGACAGGCTAAGCTGTGTACTTCTGTCTCTGTAGAGATTAGAAACCAGGTGCTCCCCTGTAAACGTGACTGCAGGCCAATCAATAAAGCCTTTGTTAAGTTTATCTTCTTTGATTCTATTCTCTTTAACCAGCTTGAATTTGGAATCAACTCCAAGATGAAACAACCTCTAGAGGGCATCAAAACATTCCAGTTCAATGGATTAAGTGGTGTGAATTTATTTTGAATAATCATTATTCTCCATTTAGGATTTTCTGGTCTTTGGATGATCTTTAGGCTTGTTAGAAAATATGCAACAAAACCCACAAATGATACATCAAGCTATACAGAAAAAAGCAGCTGTGATCAGTTTAATCTCCTCTGTGTGGCCTCAGAGTAAATCCAAGAGTAAGAGTGGCTTAGTAAAGAGTCCCTTCAGACATTGTACAGTGACTGGAGCAGCCAGAACCAGTGCATCCAACCTATGAAACCTGCTTAGAGGCATTTTGGAAATAGACTTTCATAAACCAAGAGGCTCACCAAAGCTAAAAAAAAAAGTGTGAAGCAGCTTGGTCTTTATTAATATTGTCAAGAATATATCCCATACATCCCATAATTTAATTCTTATTCATATTGCTTGTTCTTGCTAAGTTAACCCTTGAAGATTTAGGCATGCTACATTCACAAAGGATATTTTGTGAGTTTTTTTTCCCATACAAGTAGGCTAGCTTAAATAGTTTTATAGTGTTGTCTACATAACTGACAGTTGTGTTAATGGTACAATATTTATTTTTTTAAAAAAGTATAAACCATGTTGTTCCATAAGATTGGACCCTTCTTTTGTTGAATTGTCAACTGAAAGTGTAAACCTTTCTAAATCTGACAGAGCAGGAAGCTGCTGCTAATGCTAGCCAGGGTTCTCAGGAAGTAGCTGCTAATGCTAGCCAGCATTCTAACAAAGTCATTTCCTGGACCAGCTGGAACAGTGGCTGTTTTGGTCCAAGAGTTTTTCCTAACATAATCTATGGACTGGTATTGTTATTTTTTTTTTTTAAATAATAATAAAGATACAAAAAAGCATATTTGTCACAGATACAAAGCAGAGTTAAAAGAGCGAGGAAGTATTGAAGCTGGGACTAGCATAACAATTTGGGTTATTTTGACTATAAGTCTAGTGCTGGTGATATTCTGTTTGTAGTGTTCAAAAACCAGGACATATAACATCACTTCTTTTCTTTTGACGGCTTCCCGTTGATCAGGCCGGACTCCCAGCGTTGCCAGAGAGAAGCTTTCTGTCCTCCTGCTCGGTGAACTTTTGGCTCCTGCTGTGAGATAAGACGAAGAAAAACAAAAACAACCTGGATTTAGAGTGAGAGATTAGCTCCTGCTTTCTCAATTCACAATCAATTATACTTATCCAAGCATTTCTACAACAAAGAGGATACTTTAAACTTAATGTTTTTCTTTTATTTGTTTAGTATTTGTTTAGTATTACAAAATTTGAAATTCTGAGCTCTGTAGCAACTCTTTTCAATGCTTCTGTATGGAATTCAGTGCAATACACAAAACAGAACCTTTTTATAATCCTCTGTTCTTGCCAGTGTTTAGCAATACATCCTATAGTTTTACAGAACAATGAAGAAAACAGTAAATGTAGAATTAAGGCTTGTTGCAGGTGAATCACCTCTATCTGCTCCAGTTTTATCTGGTCCTTTTTAGAAGGAGGTGGCCAAACCCGCTCCAGTTTCCCCCGTGACTGTTTCCTGCTGTCTGTAGGACAGAAAGAGAAAAAGAACAACTAAGTAGCTCAGTAGCTAAGCTACTATATTTGGTAAGATTAGCAGCTCTCTACTGCTTAGACTGATTTTAGAAGTTTTAGGGTAGTTCTGAGAATCTACACAGTTCTATTGTAATGACAGTAAGTAATTGAGCTTCTTTATTTCCATGCCTTCTAAATGGCTCAGCAAATAGTAAAGATACCAATGCTTTCCCAGACACACGCAACTTCGGTGTCATTCATTTAGCATACTATATGTGTAGCAATCACAAAGTCAGCTGGACGCTTGTACATTGCAATGATACCACTTACATATCTAGGAGGGAAGTGAGCACTTTAGAACGACAGATTCTTTCAAAAATGTTTCACAAACCTTTGTTTTTGATATGCACGTAAAGGATTCTAGGCTTATTTTGTATTATTTTTCAAATCACGTTAATATTTTCAGCGTGAAATTTTTTGCTTGTCGGGCTTTATCAGTGTATCTGGGTTAAACAAGTACAAAGTTTCCTCTTGTAAATGTTTAGGATAACACAAAACAGCTTCTTTGACCTTAGGAATGACTCTTTCTTGCTTCCACATATTACTGTCATTTGTAGCTTTGTCAGCATGACCTGGAATCAACTCAATCTTCAACAACAGCTGCTGATGACTAAATTCTAACATGGTGATACTTATTGACACACTCCCTTGATTTCTGAGTTCTCATGCAACAGGAGAAAAAAATGCACACAAGCTACACTTCATATAGTTCTTTCAAATAGGTATTTCAGCGGGCTGAACTGATTTTTATTTGCACCAGGCTATAACCAAACTAGAATTTTCCAGGTAGTGCCATTCATGTTCTCCCTCAGCCAACGTTTAGATCAGACAGCTGACAGCATGATGTGCCCTTAACCATCAGTGACAGGAATGACAGTGAGTTGTTGATAACATGTCTGGGATAAAACTATGTGATGCTAATGTTGAGAAGCATTCATTAAAGTGTTCAGACTAAGTGTCAAAAGGCATGTGGGATGAATAAAGACCGAATTGGCTCTTGTTTTCCCTTGATGGGATTTTAGAGATCTTATGCTTCACATTGTCAGCAATGTTTAGCTAAATGAGCAAATTAGGTTAGAGCTCATGCAATTGCTTATCACTGATGGAAGGCACTCACATGTCAAATAGTTGTAGTCAAGTAAAAAGTATATTTTTCTGTGAAAACTTTGGAGTATTCTTTAGTCGAGTAAAAGTCAAATCATGCCAAAATTATATTATATAGTAATGTTCCTCAGTAAATAGTATAAAAAGCTGTCCTTAACCTCCTAGGACCTGGCGTCCATATATGTCTAGACTAAAATACAAAATTTTGCTCTACAAGGGCCTGATATCCACTTACGAGGACATTATACTGCCACTATTCTATCGAAATTTAAAACAAATGTCCTCATATGTGTATGTCATTTTTCTCAGAAACAAAAATCAGGTAAAAGAAAATATGGTAATTCTTTGTTTTTACAATTATCAGGTCCCAATCAGCCCAAATAGCATAAAGAAATTAAAAATGCATGCCATGAAAGTTCAGGTCTTAGGAGGTTAAGAACTTTGCTAAGTAGTATAAAACTGATGTTAAACAGGTGCATACTAACCTGTTGGGAGTGTTTGTGACTTTTGTTCATCTTCACTATTCTGTCTCTTCTCTCCATACAGACTGCGTCTCTGCTTGCGCAGCTCCTCTTCTCTTTCTTTGGCTTCTCGGATGTCCTTCTCTACCTCTGGTTGTAGAGCCAGGGCTGGGCGCAATTTGAAGAATGGGTTTTGCTTGAGGATTGAAGACTCTTTGTTTGCATTTGCTGCCTTTGCTTTACCCTCCACAGCTAACGTAGAGAAGTCATTGCTTATAGAGTCCATGCTTCTGTACAGGCGAATGTGTTTGTCTTGTTTTGGGTAAGGGGATAAGCGAGTTTTGTCTCGTGAACCTCCAGTTGGGCTCTTTGATCTGATGCTGTCAGGACTTTTTTCCTTCTCAAGATTTGCAGATTGGTACAGCCTGAGGGAATGTGCTCTGGAAACAGGACAAGTTTTGAGGGAAAACATCTCAAGGCTACGTGTGCGCTCTAGCACTGAAGGGTAAATGTGACCTTTCCTCAGAGTTGTGGGGGATTTACGGTATCTTGTTGGACCCTCCGGATTGTCCTGCTGGAAGGCTTCAAACAGCAGTTTTGTCTCTTTTAACTGGCGGATCTCTCCTTTGCTGTACCCCCCTGGGATTTTACCTTGATTGACCAGCACTAGTTCTCTCTGAATATCCTGACTTATCTCTTTGAGCATCTTCTGTTCAGAGAATTGCCACTCGTTGCATTGGCTTGTACCTACCTTGGTAGTGAGTGACTCAAGAGAGATATCTGTTTTAAAGGGAATCTCCAGCACATCTGGATTTTCTGCAAGATTGAAAACACCTCCAGCTCTCTGCAGCTTCTGCTTCCCCTGGGCTGCCTCATGGAGCTGCCTCTCCATGTAGGTTTCAGCAGCTGAAAATCGGTGTCCAGTGGAAAGAAATGGAATTTCATTAGAAGTTTCATGAAGATTACTGGGAGTCAAATCTGTAGGCTCCCAGCTATCACTCTGATTGTCATTAGAGTCACTCGGATCTATTCTGACAACCCTCTGGTCTTCTTCTGACTCTCCTGGAATTGTGGATGAAGATGTCCTTGCTCTTGTTTGAATGTCTTTGTCCTCATTATTTTCCTTTTCCATCAGGCTCACCTTTTCTTCATCTTCCTTAAGAGTTTCGAATCTGCCTTCTTCCCTCTCTTCTTCACTAGGTATATTCTCTGTTTCAGTCCCAAACATGCCCTTTTTTTCATCCATCATGACAGCCTGCTGTTGGGTATCAGCGTTCTCTGACATTTTCACATCATGTCGTAGCTGTACCAGCTGCAGACGATGAAGCAGTTGCTCACCTTGTTGGATATCAGTAGATATTTTCCTGCTTCCATCCTCTTGCTCCCCCATTGTCTCTCTTTCTTCAGAACCTTTGGAACTGGATAGCACTTGCATTTCTGTGCTGCCGCTTTCTTTCCTCACACAGTCATACTTTATGAGGTTATAGTCCAAAGATGCACGGTCATCATGCTCTTCATTGTCTTTGTCCGTATCTGTTTGGAAGTCAGCAGCCTGTGCCTGACTGGTTGCTGTATCGGTCCTGTTTTGGTTGCATTTACAGAGCTTGAAATCATCATCGGAATTTGCCTCCACACTCTCGATAGCTATACTTTCTCTTAATAGTTTTAAGTCTGTTTCATCAAAATCACCAATGTCCTTGTGTTTTATTTTGTCTCCGTCTTTGTCTAAATGGATCTGATTCTCAGAGTCTTCTCTGTGGTTTGAATGTGTTTGTTTTGGGTAATTGTCTTCCTCCGTATTGGCTTCCCAGCAGTTTCCCTGTTCTTCACTTATAATTACAATGTCCTCTGGTTTGTCATTCTCTGTTGCGTTATTCCCGTAAGGTCTTCGATCTGTATCATAACCAGTTTCCATCAGACAGCCAGTCACATCCATGGATTGTTGTTCTTGATAAGTTGGTGGAGAGGAGTCTTGTTCATTGGATATGTTGGCCATAGACAACTGCACTGCACTTGCAGTCACCTCTTCATCCAGCTCGTTTCGTGCTACCATTAACTGCTCCTCACTATGAGACAAGTCTAAGCCTCTTGGATTAGCTTCAGCCTCTGTTGCGTCAACTGAAAGGGTCACACCAGACTTACTTGCTGTTGCACCTGTGCTTTTCTCTGCTGGCAGCGATGTAGACGTGCGAGGTGGAGGAGGGATGAAGACATCATCTGCACCTTCATCATCCATCACACTGTAGTACCTCATTATAGCAGTGGGAGCAGCAGAGATCATTGTGATTTTGTCTTCAGAGGTTGCTGAAAAATTCTCTGTGTGGTTGCTCACATGGTTTGAATCCATCTTCATCCACAGACCACTGTCATCATCAGAAAGTAGACTTTGAGGGCTGCGTCTAGGACCTCTTGCTTCCATGTTGAAACGTCTTTGAAGCAGTTTGTGGTGTTCTGTCTGCGTTGCCTTTTAATAAAATTTAAATAAGAGACATGCGTGTCATTGAGGCTTATAAGCGTCAGTGCTAGTAATTGTTATTATTATTATTACCGCTGTTAGAAATTATAAGAAAGAAAGAAAGAAACTAAGAAAAGGCTAAGAAAATAAATGCCTTTTTAGTTAACATTATATCTGCAACATTTGGCAACGATACGGTATTATTGTACAATGCATTGTCTAATTTTACTATTTACAGAAACCTCTAGTGCATTATCTGTGAAAAACAGTGTACTAGCAGAAAATTACCAGTGTGTGATGTGATCTTTGTGCAGTTTTCTTTCTTTCTTTTTTACAGTGCAGTATAGCATTTCTTTTTGTCTAGTAATAGTACAGTAACTGAACCTTAAAGTTCTTAAATTAGATTTTGATACAAGGAACCTGATAATACAGACCTCAGGATCAAGCTATACATTAGGACTCGTCCACACAAGTGCCCTGTGTTGCCATATTGTCTGCGGTTGTGCACCAATTATTGCAAAAAAACCCTAAAACAAAACAAAAGAAAAAAAAACACAAAAATTTTAAGATGTGTAGCAACGAAGGCAGTGAAAAGTGCAAGTTTGGCTTTGACAATAATGAGTAAAGAATGACAGAGTTTCACACACTGAAAATGAAACCCTTTTTATTTTATGTAAAAGGACTATGGGGTACTATTAAAACCTTTTCAAGTAAGCACTACTTAGGTGGTCGATGTTCATAACAAATTCCTGGTGAAATTAACTAAACTGTGTCTTCTTCGTTTTGATATATGACCAAAAATCTCAAAATGTAGGATTTGTTTAGCTGCTGATCTGGTCGGAATCACAACAACAGCAGGCTTAAAATGGACCAAAAATAGAAATACGTTTATCCGTCCATCCATTCATTTATACGTCCTGTTTTTTTCTGTTTTTGTTTTCAAATTACTTTGTGTTTTGGTAGCTACAGACGTTTCTTCTGACAAAGGAAAAAAAGTAATGTCATCATAATGCAAGTCTGCCTTAAATTCTGATTTATCTTCATTCTGTCTGAACTCATCAAGCTAATTTCTGACAAGTACTGTGAGATGTTTGCAAATAGAACCTCAACAGCTATTTAAACACGTATTGTACATTTACTCTGAACATCACACAATAATTTGTATAATTATTTAATAATTCTTCAAGACATGCTTAGATATGGAAATGCATGTCCTGGCATAATCTGGTTTATTGAGCTGCAGGTTTTAAATCTAAGAGTCTATATTTACACCTGTATTCAGGGGCTTAATGCCAGCCACACTGCAGTTAAGGATTATCAACAGCAGTAACACCACGCTGTTTATAAAGCTCAAGCAACAGGACATATTAATGCACCTTAATGAGCTTAACCTATTTATTCCACCGTGCTTTAGAGGAACACATAAGATTCTATCGTTGCTGTGAAGAGTTTTGGAGATCTTTTAACTATTATAATAGTCTGAATATTGTAGTTATTTGTAGTTCTTTAAAATACCTCCTTCTCCTTAAGTGACTGTGTAACATTATATGGAATTTTGTAATTCCATTATCCATACTACATTATCCATGTAGTATGGATACACTCACACACAGTCAGCTGTTCTTACTCATATTTGTGCTGTGATAATATGACTTCAGCTTTAATTATCTATCTATCTATCTATCTATCTATCTATCTATCTATCTATCTATCTATCTATCTATCTATCTATCTATCTATCTATCTATCTATCTATCTAT